GTGAATTTGGGGTTACTGATACTTCCTACATTATAGTTTCTCTGTATGTTAACTAAATTGGTGGGTATAGGCAGTCCCCCCCTTTCCTTTTCAGTTTAAAGCCCTTTTGGTTAGATTTGCAAGATTCACAACAAATACATTCTTACTTTTGTTGTGTGCATTCCATTTCTGTCCAAGAGCCCATCATTCCTGTGTTTTACGCCATAGTCCTGAAACCACACTAATGCCAGAATTTTCTTTCTTTGTCTTCTCACTTCCCCTTCCTGCCTTCTTTCACTGTCTTCTCTCTTTTTCCCCACCCATCCCTCTTTTTCCCCATGATACTCTTTTCCTCTCTTCCTCCAGCTTATGCCTCCTTTTCTTCCCCAGATCTCTCTTGTATGCCCTTGCCTCCCAAGCTTTTTCTTCTCCATCTCAGTCTTGTTTCTGTCTTTCCTTTTCTCTCGGCCTTTCTCCCAAAATCAGCCTGTTTTTGTCTCTTCTTTTGGTCCCCCCTTTCTTATTTTAATCCAGCCCAATTTCTTTGTTCTCTCTTTCTCCTTTCCCAGGTCAGACAAATCTCTGTTCATAGCTCCCCTCACTGTCTCCTTTTTTTTCCCCACAGCTGAATGCAGATGGAGGTGTTTCCTTCTCAGGCCCCGGGGCTTCCGATACTTCAGACCCTGGCACTAAGTGGCCCTTATTGCAGTGTGGAGGACGGCCAATGGGCAGAGATGGCCCCCCTGCACCACCCTCCCCAGCAAGAGCCCTTAGGGCTGGGGTTACTCCAGCTGAGGCCAGAGGGCCACCTACCTCAACCTCCCCACCTCTCCCAGCTGCAAAAGCCTTGGGCCTGGTGGTTCCCTCGCCACCCCCGTCTTCCTCAACAGCAGCAACCATTACTGCCAAGAAGTTTTCCTGTAAGATCTGTTCAGAGGCCTTCCCAGGCAGGGCTGAAATGGAGAGCCACAAGCGGGCCCACACCGGGCCCAGCACTTTCAAGTGTCCTGATTGCCCGTTTGTTGCTCACCTGTGGCCCGAGGTTCGGGTAGGTTAACAGGACTGAGGTGGGAGGCCCTGGGCATACTTACAATCTCACTGTAGGCACAAAGCCAATACCGTCTCATGTGCCCTCAACTCTCAATTATGTGTACTTCTGTTATGATAATAATCCCTCACATTTGCATGATATTTTTTACAATCTGAATCCTTCTAACAATGCCCTGAGGTCACCAGGCCAGGTCAGCAATAGCCCTTTTTGGTCATTGAGAAAAACAGCCCAGAGGAGGGGACTGCCTTGGCCCAGAATCACACAGTCAGGGACAGAGCAAGGACGAGAACTCACATCTTCTGACTTGGAGCCCCTGGTTCTTTTGGTCAGATCCACAGGTCACGATCAGTAATAGTTTGTGCTTGGTATATGTGGTATTTTGACAGCAAACTTATCTTCCTAATTCTTATGTTTGGTTGAGTTGAACATTAAAATGAACTTTCTTTCCCTGGGTTTTATGTCAGCAAGGCAACAGAGGCAGGTGACTTTTGGGTTGCATTGCAAGCCTGTTATGATTTAATTCACAAAACCAAGTTAGAATGCAATATGGCATAGTGGAAACAGCATGGAATTTGGAGGCAGACGACTTGGATTTGAATCCCAGTTCCTGCTACATGCATGCTTGCTATGTGACCCCTGCCTCTTCTTATATGCAAGTCACTTAGGCTCTCTGGGCTTCAGTTTCCTCATCTACAAAATGAGATCCTATCATCTAATCCAGCAATAGCTGACAATTTGGTGAGATTGGAAGTATACTATCCACATTTGACAGCTAAAGAAACTCGAATCCAGAGCAGGAAGTTACATTCCCCAGTGCAGCATAATTAGTTAGAAGCCAGGGACAGAACCCAAGCCTCCTGGACCTCCCTTCCATAGGACCATAGATTTAATTAGAAGGAATTTTACATTAAAAAAAAAATTTAGGGAGGAATCTTGAAAACCATCTAATCCAACACCCTTTCCCCCTCATTTTACAGAGTAGGAAACTGAGGCACAGGGAGGGTGATTTATGTTCATAATTCCCAGACTTTCCTGTCTTTTAAGTCCAGCACTCTAGCCACTATACCATGCTACCTTTCTAAGGTTGTTCTCCAGCTGCCTTCCAGTTGGTGGGCAGGTCTGTAGGCCCGTTTCCTAGGGAGAGAGGGTGGTGTAAAAATTAGTTGTTGTGATGCTCACTGTCTCCTTGGGTACCTGCCAGGCCCACATGGTCCAGCACTCAAGCCTTCGGCCCCACCAGTGCAGCCAATGCAGTTTTGCCTCCAAGAACAAAAAGGACCTTCGGCGACACACCCTCACCCACACCAATGAGAAACCCTTCTCCTGTCACCTTTGTGGGCAGCGGTGAGACCCAGAAGAGGTTGGGGGGGTAGGGAGGGAAGGACAGTAGGAGAATGTACCTGGGGACAGGAGGCTGGGGCTGTCTGACCCTTCTCCCCTTTTGCCCACCAGCTTCAACCGAAATGGCCACCTCAAATTCCACATACAGCGGTTACACAGCCCAGATGGAAGGAAGCCGGGCCCCCCAGTGCCCAGGGCCCCTCCCCGTGCCTCCACCCAGACCATCATCCTCAATAGTGATGATGAAACACTGGCTACACTGCATAGTGAGCTCCCCTTCCCTCCTCTCCCCCTTCCACTTTGGAACAGGGACATTCCAAGGCACTGACTGGGTTCAAGGGAGCACAATTGGGCATTCTCTTGGGTAAGGGCACTTTCTTAGGGAAAACAAGATAGTGCTGTCTCAGTAGTACGTTCTTCCTCAGAGCCAGCCGAGGGACTTTCAGTATGAGAGTAGACCAAGCTTGGGGAGCTGGGGGTACAAACCAGGTCGAGTAGATGTCTTTAGACTTCCCCAAGTCTGCAGCCTACTAACCTACCCCATCCTACCTCCCCTTCCGTATTCGTCCTTTCCCCTATCTCTTCCTCCTTATCTCCTTTCCCTCCCCAGCTGCCCTACAGTCCAGTCATGGAGTGCTGGGCCCTGATCGGCTCCAGCAAGCCCTGGGTCAGGAACACATCATTGTGGCACAGGAACAAACAGTATCCAATCAGGTGAGGTTAAGAGGAGCCCTGGGATTTGTGGCTGGGGTGAGAGAGACGGGACCAGCAAGAAGGGATTACACTGGGACTAGTTTTTACAGGAGCTTGGTTTGTTCTGGTAGGAGGAAGCCACTTATATCCAGGAGATCACTACTGCAGATGGACAGATGGTACAGCACCTGGTAACCTCAGATAACCAGGTAAGTTTTTTCATTGTTTCTCTGTCTCTAACCTCCCCAGCTGCTGTTCATAAGAGCTTAGGACTTAGCAACCTTAAAGATTAGTCTAACCCTCATTTTATATTTGAGGAAACCAATGCTCAGAGAAGTCAAAATGTCTTGCTCAAGATTGACAACTCAGTCCCCACCTTCTCTGATGTCCTGTCTTACTTCCTCACTCCCCTTAGATCTCAGAAGTCCACAGCCCTATCTTGGGCCTCTTTGCACAGTCAGCCCCAAGATGTGTCATTTTTTCTAGGATATATGTATTTTTTCCCCAGTGAGACTAACAATTCTGAGAGGACAGGGGCTGCCTGGATCCTGTCCAAGACTGGGCTCAGAATAGTTCCTCATCAAAGGTATACCAGGAAATTGGTTCCCAGTGATCCCTTTCCTTTCTACTTTCTCAGGTGCAGTACATCATTTCTCAGGATGGGGTACAGCACCTCCTCCCCCAAGAGTATGTGGTGGTTCCTGAGGGGCATCACATTCAGGTGAGGAAAGGCCTCAGGAGCAAAGGAAAAAGGAAGAAGGGCTCAGTGGTGGTGGTGGGATGAACTGACTGAACTTCCACCTCACTGTGGTGACTTATCATCCTATGGCCAGGTACAAGAGGGACAGATCACTCATATTCAGTACGAGCAGGGGACTCCTTTTCTGCAGGAATCCCAGGTACTAGAATAAAGCATTATAGGAGGGATGGGGCTAGAAGGGAGAGGGGACTATGCCTCTGGGAGGCTCAGTTCCCTCTCTCATTTTGTCCCCAGATCCAATACGTCCCTGTGTCTCCAGGACAACAGATTGTCACTCAAGCTCAGCTAGAGGCTGCTGCCCACTCAGCTGTCACAGGTACAAGACTGGGGAGAAGGGGGGGGGAGCGGGGAATGGAGGGGACCTTGGGATCAGCCAGTTCAGCTAAAGAAAGGGACAGCCCTGGACCTCAACCTCCTGAGCCTAACTCTCTGCTCTTTGCTAGCTGTGGCTGATGCTGCCATGGCCCAGGCCCAGGGCCTCTTTGGCACGGAAGAGGCAATGCCAGAGCATATCCAGCAGCTGCAGCATCAAGGCATCGAGTATGATGTTATCACACTGACTGATGACTGAGGGGACATAATGAGGGCATGGAGAAGCAAAGATGCCATAGAGGTGGACCTGCCAGAGGATCCTCCTTACCAATCAGGGTCCCCTGGGAACCAGGCAGGTGGTATCCCTGACTTCCTAATGAACTTGGGCCTGCCTTGATGCCAGGGATGAACAGGGCACTGGTATGGTAAGGTGCTGCTGACCCCTGGGATGAAGCAGGACACCAGAGCCTGCGGGCAGGCTTCTGAGAGAGAAATCTATTTTTGTTTGGATAGATCAGCTGGCATGTCTGTCTGAATAAAGAAAAAGGAATAAGAATCCAGCCCTGGCCAGTTTTGCTGGAATGGGGTGATTCTCTTTCCTGCTTTCTCTTTACGAAGTGGTAGTGGTGGGTAGACATCCTGGAGGTCAGCTCTCTGCTGTTGATAGCAGCAGCTCAGAGCCTTCCTGCTGGTGGCGCTCAACATTAAAGCAGAATTAGCTTAGGGATTGGGGAAGGTATCATTTTACAGAAATTCAGTCACAAAGACAGAGCTTTAAAAGACCTTAGAGATCATCTCACCCAACCCCCCTCACTTTACAGATGAGGAAAATTAGGCTCAGAGAGAAAAGTGACTTGCATAAGATCACAGGTAGTATCAGAGCTTGTTGTCATGCTCGAGTTGAAGATTATTACTGAATTACTTTCGAATTCTAGAATCATGCATTTCTAGACTATGGTCCCTTTGCCCTTTAAAGGCTTTCTCGAACTCCTGCCAGTTAGTCCTTGGGGACACCAGAAGAAGTTGATAATCCACAGGCCTAAGGAACCCTAATTGACAAGTTTTGGGTGGTATGGGGTAGGCTCATTCAAAGGTCCCTATACACAATGGGTAAGACTACTCAGATCAATGAAAGACCAGACTGGGCCTATTAGCTCTTATATAACATGTAAGGGTTCAACTGGCCCTACTAAAAACCCTTCCAAGGAAGAACCCAAGAGGAAGATGAATCTGGTTCCTGGCCTGATTTGGTTTCTGCCCCCTGCCCATAAGACTCACTCCAAGGCTGGTCAAGGAGTTGTGTGAATCTGTGTCCTCGAGAACACAGGGCCCTAAAAGCCAGAACCACTGCACCTACGGCTTGTTCACTAAAACACATGGAAGGCCCTGAGGACTCCCCCCTGACCTGCAGCTAGTGGGTGTATAAGAGAAAAAAGGGACAATGTTGTATGTGCAGTGAGAACATCTCACTGGTATGAAGTGGCATAGGAAAAGGCAGCAACCATGATTGGGCCTGGATGTGGGCTCCCAGGAACGGGGCCTGGAAAGCCCCTCCTCCTTCCAGAACCCTCACACAGTCTTGGGGCTTTTCTGTATTTTCTTTTACATGTGAAACAGCGTTAGCAACAGGACAGGGAGGATGTGGGACTATTCACAAGGGACGTGGAGTGAGCATGAGGTTTTAAAGGAAATTGGGGGAGAAGGATATGTGTGTGAGAGCCATAGAGGCCCACATTCTTCCTATGTCAGTGGCAGCCTTGACCCTTCTGCTGCCCCATAAAGGATGATGGTATCTTGTTCTTGGGGCCGGGGCTAGGGTCAGGTAAGAAAGAGAGGCCTGAACCCCCACAGCTCAACAGCCCTCTTTTGCACTGCCTGCTAAGTAGGATTTGACTCTCGGCTGGTGCTCTGCTCCCTGCCAGAGTCACGGTCCTTGGCCTCAGAGGAAGAGGAAGTGCTCCCTGAACTGGAGCCATGACTTCGGCCAGACTGCCGGTAGGCTGTGGTCAGCTCCTGCAGCCTTGCTGGTGTCGGCTCCCACTTGGCAAAGCCAGGATCATTCTGTAGGAACAGCACAGCTGTGTTGTGCACAGCCTTGTAGTAGAGCTCTTCCCTGGAAGGCAAATGGGCCACTCAGTAACAGCTGGGTCTTCCTACCCCACCTCTCACAATGCCAGCCCCTCCCTCTGCCCCAGCCCCCACAAAATACACCCACTTCTTGCAGATGTGCTGGGAGCCACTTCGATACTCGTGGTCAAAGGCAGGCAGCACCAGTTGGTGGCGCTTAAAACGGCTCCGCTCCATTCGGGTTAGTGCTGGTGTGGGGGGGTCCCGCCACTCCGGGATGAAAACAATGAAGGACAGGGGCTCTGGGGAGCTCTCCAACAGCTTCTGCAAAGCACCAGTGGGGGAAGTGGTGCTGAGACTCCTGCATGGCTCACAAACATGCCTCCCACAGCCCCTCAGCCCATCCATGAGGGTCACAAACCTCAAAGTGAGACACCATAGCGTCCATCAGCTCCTCACAGAATGGAGGGTTTGCCTCAAAGGAGCCACTCAGTGGGCAGAAGTCCAGGCAGGGCCTGAGAGCAGGGGAGGGAGGCCCGTCAGAAGTTAGTCAATCTACCATGAGCGGGCACCACCTATGTATATATATCTAATGTGGTGCTAGGTACTATAGGGGAAGTGTTTGTTATCAGAGGGTTGGAGAATTAAAAGGCAGAGAAAACCACCTAAAATCATCCTCCCAAAGCCTTCCCAAACTACCTCTATTGGTATGATCTTTGTCTGACACTTAGAGAGAAGGGAAGTCACTTGGCACCGATTATCTCCCCAACAAAACTGAGAATTGTGAGGAACAGTTATCTTGTACATAGTTTACTATGTACAAGATCTGATGGGCAGCAGACATATAACACATTAATGGAGCATTATGCCCCTCCATGAAGCAGTTTTGTTATGATTCCTTTTCAGCAACAACCAGACCAAAGAAATGCCATCCTCCAGGGAGAGCTAAGCCAGCCCCTCTGATTTCAGAGCTATGTATAGCCTAGCCACTGCACACTAGCAGCCAGGACCTCACCCTCGGGAACCAAAGTAGCCATCGGTGTCTGGGAAGGCAGAGCAGTACTGACGGAAGTAGCAGTTGAGGGGGGAGGCAAAACATTCAAAGCTGACGCCAAAGAGTCGGTGTAGAGCTTCGAAGACATGTACTGGGAGTGAGCCCTGCAGGCCTGTCCCCTCATACAGTCCCACCCCGAACATCATCTGCAGGAGTAGCCAAGAAAACCACAATCACCAGGAGGGAGGGATCGCCACCTTTCTTCCTCCCCACCCTCCACCTCTTCCCATTCTTTTTGTTTTTTGGTTATTTTTTGGCCAGGCAATGGGGTTCAGTGACTTGCCCAGGGTCACATAGCTAGTAAGTGTTATGTGTCTGAGGCCGGATTTGAACTCAGGTCTTCCTGAATCCAGGGCCAGTGCTCTATCCACTGCACCACCTAGCTGCCCCTCATCCCATTCTTAAAGGTCAGTCATACCTCCTCAGAATCCCCCCTCCCACTTTCTGCACCACAGCCATACCCTATACTCTATACCTGATAACGTCGGAGAAGACACCAGACCCGGGGCAGGAATCTCTCAAAAGCCGAATCATCAATGCAGCTGTAGCGATAGAGGAGCCACTGTCAGAAGACAGAGAGTTGGGCATTAGCAGAGCTCCTGGCAGCAACTTGCTCACAGGAAGGAGATCCTTCCAGGGCAACAATTCAACAGCTATATTAAGCCCCTCTGGTGTGCTGAGGACCGAGATAATCTAATGCTCTAATCTGTCTGGGTTCCTGCCCACGTGAAGTTTCCAGTCTGGTAAGGGGGATATGACATACCTAACTTTAATATGTACTTTTACATAAGGGCATTAGAGGTATAAAATAATAATTTGCATTTATATGGTACTTTTGAGGTTTACAAAGCCCTCTCCTCAAAATAACTATGTGAAGACAGAAGGTACATTGTGTAAGCATTATCCCCATTTTAGAGATGAAGAAACAATACATAAGGCTCAGAAAAAGTTAAATGACTTGGCTAAAGTCACCAAATTAATGGACATTAGTGCTGAAGCTTAGGTTTGAACCCCAGTTGCTTGACTCCAAGTCCAAAGGCACTACTATATCCTAATGCCACTTCATTCCCTAGTCAAGTCCTTTGATCTTGATTTGAGCAGACAGCTACTCAAGTTCCCTCCACCTTTCCCTTCTGACTTAGTTCCTACATCCCACCACTAAAGCTTGATGCCTCTGCTCTCACCAGTTTGCTGAAGAAGTTACGACTGACTTTGACCATCTCCCCCTTGTAGCGCACGCAGGCCACGTTGTTCTCCATGTGCATCTCCACACTGGGCAGGGGAGGTGAGGGCACGGCCAGCCGTACCGGATAGCAATAGACAAGTCGCTGCTCCACTTCTGCTGCCTCTGCCTCCTCTGAGGGAAGTGGGTGAGGTGAGGGCCCTGGCCTGGGCTGGCCCCACCCTGCTCCACTCCAGCCCATGCTCAACTCAGGTCAGGGAGCACCTGGAGGGGACTTACTGAGGAAGACTGGCAGGGGGCAGGCAGAGCTATACCTAGGGCTTGCAGACCTAGGTCATAATTATATTATCATTATTATAATAGCAATAATGACAACTATTTATATAGCACTTTCAGGCTTACCAAGACTTTTCCTCACAACAAACCTGCTAAGTGATTAATACAACATTATTACAGTATCCTCATTTTGCAAAAAAGGAAACTAAAGCTCTGAGAAGCTGTGACTTCTCCAAAGTCATCAAGCAAGTTAATGTCAGAACCCTGATCTGAACCAAGGACTCTTGATTACCAGTCTGGCACTCCTTCCAGAATATCCACATATTACTGTGTGCTGCAGAGCCCTGAGCCCAGACTCCGTGTAATACAGGTGAAGTTAAGTTAGAATAAATACCAAAGGTAGAGAATAAGAAATCACCAAAGATGAGTCTGAATGGGGAGTCAGTCCCACAGGATTTGCTTTGGTGATAGGGGTGTTTGTAAGCCATTTAGCCATAAAATAGTGAATGCGTCTTAATTTAGTCAATGGCTCCTCGTCATTTGTCTCATTACAGTTGTTCCCTGTAGATGCACCTGGCTCTCTCAGATCTGCTCAGGTCAGCTCCTTAGCTCCTGTGGACTGCCTCCTTGAGGTAACCACCCCATGCGATGTTCCCTAGAACGCCTCATGTGGAGATGAAGAAAGCTGGCACCGATGCTTCAATGCTGGGGTCCCCATCAACTAGCGGGAAGAGTTAACATGTGCTGCCCCCTTGCCAACCTACCTGTCTTAACCTGGGTTCAAATCCAGGTTCTTCCATTTACTTCCTGTATCACCTCGGGCAAGTCACAACCTCTGGGTCTCAGTTTCCACATCCATACAAACATGGGGTTGGACTAGGTAATCTCTAAGGTTCTTTCCATCTCCAAAATCCCATAATCCTAACATACAATTTCTTTTCCTCTCCTCTCCCTGCTATGGATTGAGAAGAGCTGCCAGTCATGGAGTTGTAGACCCTCTACCCAAAAGGCAACAAGGCCCAGTTTTTCCACGATTACAATTACTCCTTCCTCCCAGAACTAGTTCATGCTCCCAGAGGGATTCTTAGAGTCCTTCATCCACCCAAAAGCTCCCCAACCATCTTCCCTGATGGTCACCCCCATACCCGGGATGTTGTTCTCCTTGAGGATGGCAAGATGCTTCTCCCGGATTCGTTTGACGTACTCCAGGGAAATGTGGTAGATCTTGCTACATATACCCTCCACTGAGTCTTTTGCCGCAGCTGACACATGGGGGCCACACTGCTTTCTTAAGTGCTCCAGACGGTCCTGCAGCAGACATGCCCTGTAGATACAACCCCACCTACCCCGTGGGAGCCCCCAACCCTCTCAACCCCTCCTTTCCAAGGCCCAAAAGAGTGACCACCACTTACCATATAGTCATCCTTGGAAGCTGAGTGGTCCTTCCGTAACCAGCTGAAAGTATCTTCCACATTCCACTTCACTACCTTCCTGCTATCTGGGGATGCGCTCCTACAGGGAAGGGCAGCACATCAGTGCCCTTGGGTACCACAACCTGGCCAACTGAGGCACTGCATCCACTGGCCCGCCTCCTCTCCCCACCCCAACACATATTCCACCCTCACAAGCCTTGTGTCAGGCAGTACAGCTCTATCTATATTTCTACAGCAATTTAAGATTTAGAAAGTATTTTTCTTATAATACTGTTAAGTAGGTAAATATAAATATTATCTCCATTTCATAGATAAAGAACCTGAGACTCGGAGAGAGTCAAGACTGCCGAAGGTCACAGTTCATGTGAACAAGAGAACAGATCCACACTCAAGTGTCCTGACCCTTAGCCCAGTGCCTGCTCAGGAGCTAACAAAGGGGCTGCTTCTGAGCCTGGGATGGAGCGCCACAGAGAACCAGGAGCTCTGGCCTCCCTAGCAACCCAGTGCAAACTTTCTCCAGGCTCCCTCTCTGTCCAGCAGCCACTTACCCATGCCCCCTTAGCCTCAGGGCCAGAGATCCCTGTCAGCACCCCCAAAACATAACAGACCCTACTGAGTGTAAAAGAGGAATGTAGAGAATGGACTCTGGAGACTCCTCCCACCCCACCACCCACTTGATTCCTAGAGAATTTTCCCTGTAGAAGTAGTGATGGCTTGATGGCCTAGAAAGGGGAAGTTCCTGACCTGGATTCAATAAGTCGCTTGGCAGCTTCTGCATATTTGAAGAGCAACCGCTTGGCTTCTTCCCGGAACTTGATTCGGGATAACCTGAGTCAAAAAGCAGTGGCCATCAGGGACGTCAACATCAGGTTACCCCCAAAAGGGAGCAGGCCCTGCTCTAGAAGAGGCACATAGCCCAAGTGGACCAGCTAGAGGAGTACCTGATGGGAATGTCGTTCATGATTTCTCGAAACATGGAAGGAGACACAACTGGTTCACAGTTGCTTGGCAACAAAGGGTCAGGCCCTTTATCCACCACCTTGCGCTCAAGCATCCAGCGATTAAAGGACTCCCTCGGGGGCTCAATTCCTGAAAGAGAGGCCAGTATAAGCAATCCCAAGAGGAGACTGGGAATGAAAAGGAATACGAGACCTTGGGCATTCTGGGCAGTCCAAGAAGTGACCCAGAAAAGATACCATAGGATCACAGATAAGGCACCAGAAGGGCCCTTTGAGGGAATCTAGTTGCCTCATTTTACAGATGAGGAAAATGAAATCCTGACCAGTTAAGTGACTTGTCCATGATTTAGTGACTGGACTGAGATTTGAAAACAGATCCTGTGCTTCCAAATCCAGTGCTCCTTCCACTTCAACCACACTACATCTCTAGAAACAGCAACAGTGACAAAGAGGGTGGGTGCTGCCCCCAACTTGAAGCACCCTGGATTTTATCTCAATTTAAAGCTGGAGGTCAGAAGGGAAAGGCCCTGCATATATCTGACCCTGATAACTGAAGTCCTCAGCTCCAGCCCTGGCCTTTTCCAAAGGCAGAGGGGAGGAAAGGAAAGTAAAGGAAACAAAGAAAGCTGGGAAAAGAAAACATAAGCAAAGGAGAGGCTCAGCTACCCAGCCTTACCTTCACGCTGCTGGCACAGCTCCCGGTAATGTTGGCGAAGCTTTAGAATAAGCTGGGAGCGGAGCAGCTCCACTTCAGGGTGTGGGGGCAGGACCTCAGAAGGCCCCCGCTGCTTGATCACTGCATTTGTCTGGATGTCCAGGTCCCAGTACACCCTTAGAACATATACAGTGACCAGTAAAGAAAGTAAGGAGAAGAACTCTCATTCTCAGATTTCCAAGAGAACCACCCAACCCCAGTAATCACCAACAGCCTCTGAATCAATGACCCAATCCCAGATGAGCCAACTGGTAACTCTCAGCTGCTCCCTCCTGGCCTCTAGTACCCACACTAAGGTGAAAAGGGCCTGAGGAGGCCTACAGGGAGGACTCACTCGGTGGGCCGAAGGAGAGCTGCCTGCTGTTTGTCTTCAGGGGATGTGCCCCATATCTTCATGGTTGGTGTCCCAGGAACACTAGGGGAGCTGGGTACAGACTGGGCAGGAGTCCCTGGAACTTCAACCTGAAGGGAGAAATAATAAAAGTCATGATACTTGCCAAGCCCACCAAGGTCTTGACAATAAGGCATGTGAGAACATGCGTCCCTACAGAATAATAGGGCCACTCTTCCTATTCCCAATACATCAATCTTGACTAAGTGCTGCTGAAAATACTTCACAAGACTACAACACTTTACCAAGGATCTTCAAATACATTATATCACTGGATCCTCACAGCAAGCATTATTATCCTTCTATTACAGAAGAGATGAAGTTCCACTTTACAGTGAAGATCAGAGAATTTAGGGCTCAGAGATAAAAGAGAATTTACAGACAATTTAATACAACCCTTCCTTGTACAGATGAGAAAAACTGAGGCCTAGAGAAGAGAAATGATGTGCCCAGGTTCAATGGGAGTAAAAGAGCTGAGCTGAAATTTGAAGTCAGACATTCTAACCCCAAATTTAGAACTTTTTCCATTAAAACATGCTATGTAACTTGCCACATGGTTCAGTAAGTGTCAAAGTCAAGTTCAGATTCAGGTCCTCTGCTTCCTTTTCTAGGCCTCTTTTCATTACATGCATGCCTTCAGGCCCATCTGACCTTTTATTCCAGGTTGTTCTCACTAGCAAGACACACCTTGGGCTTCTTTACGATGTTGCCACTGGGCTGCTCCTCTGAAAGCCTCCTTTTCCTGGGCTTGTTCTCCACGGGTGTTTCCACCACTCCAGCGTCTGGGGGCATCGGAGCCGCATTCAGCCCCAAAGGGTCCGACTGGGGGTGGGGGCCAGACCAGCAGAGTTATAACTGGCAATACTGGCTCCCAGATTATGCAGAGCCTATTATACAGCCCTGCCCCATACCCATCTCCCACCCACTGAATACCAAACAGCAAATCCACCCTCAGACAGCACACCCTTGGTAATTTCAGAAGTACTATGCCAACCAGCTTGTCCAAGCCAAGTGAGAAAAGACATCTCCCCCAAAAGAGGGCACCAACAACTTCTACTCTTCTTGGAAAGCTCCATCGGCCCACCATGGTCCTAAACAAAACACTTACAATGACATCATGCTGCCCCAAGACTGGCATCTCCCACAGGGACTGATTGGTGAATCGATTGAAGTAGTAAGGGCGATTTTCTCGTCTGCTCCAACACTTCTCCCAGCCAGCCTGTACCAGTTCATCTAGAAACCAAAGCCAGAATCAAAGCAATCCAACAATTCAGTGTAACGGGCATTTATTAAATATCAGCCATGTGCTGGGAGAAATACAAAGTTTAGATTCAACAAAGTCCCAACCCATTTATCTACAGTCTCATAGAGAAATTAAGAGAAAAACAGAAATTTGTGTTATAGGCAATAACAAAAGATAAATGTATTAGATAAGTGAAAAAAGGACTGTGAGATTCAAGGGGAAAAGTTGTTACCCAATGAGGAGGAGATCAGAGGTTCTCTGAGAAGGTGGCATCTGAGTTGGGCATTAAAGGATAAATAGGAATTTAAAAGGTGAAGACTATAGGGAAAGGGATTAAAGAAGTAGGAATAGGGTGACCAAAGGCATGGAAATAGGTAAGACCAGGGCATAGTCAAATGACAGACTAGTCCAGTTTTGTTGGAACATAAAATGCATCCAAGTAAGAACTGAAATACAGCTGGAAAAGCAGGGTAGTACTAGATTATAGAAAGCCTTGAATGCTAGGCAAAAAAAATTTAAATTTTACTTAGTAGCACAATCCCACATGGAATACAAGCCAAGAAGTTCCCCTCCCAAGAACCTAGAGTCTCTTTTTTATATTCCTTCACTGTTCCCCTATAATACCTGGAAGGTCTTGTACCAGTCGGATGGGCTTGGGGGAACTAGGCTGGCTTTGATTAGAGGTGCCTGGGGAGTGACTCAACAGAGATGCTTCCTCTCTGGGACTGCCGTGGTTCTCATTGGCCATCTCTCAGCAACAGCATGAGACCTATCACACAATGATCAAATCAGAATCAAAAAGGCCCACTCCATTTTCACCTGTTCCATGCTGAATCCAGAAAGAAAGGTAGAAATCCTCTACCATAATACTAAAAGCTATTTCCAGAAAACCTCCTGACTACCCATACTAGAGAAAACAGAACACATTCCTTACCTTAATACCATCCTATCACACTACTCTAATGTTCAACATAAGGAGGCACAGGACAGAAGTCTATACTTAACTCTTTCAGCTCAATCACTTCACAGTGAAGTGATTGAATTTACTTAATTTTTATACAAAAATGGGGGTAGGGTGCACAGTGTGTAGCCAGCACAAGTGGAGTTCAGATGGGAAATGTTCTGTGCTTAACTAATAAGCTAGAAGAAGGTAGTTAAATGGAAATAGCACTGGGAGTCAGGTGAAACGAGCACTAGATGAGTGATTCTAGGCTAATTATCTCTCAGGTGCTGTGCCTTCAACAGTAAAACATTGCCGGGGGGAAGGGGAGGGTGTCCAGCAATCTCTAAAATCACTCCAAGTCACAGGATCCAGAGACAGAAAGGGACCCTGAGCTAAAACAAGCCTGTGAACTTTTGGGTCTGGGCCAGAGGACTACGGGATGACAATCTCCACATTCTCTCTCACCCTCTGGGGTCTGCAGCATTAGCACGAAAAGAAGGCACCTCCAGACCTTCACCAACCCTTGCTTCTCTGGAGTCACTGCGGGATTACCCCAGGGGTGGCCAGAGGCAAATGCTAGGTACGGCTGGGCACTGGTGAGTGGGTGGGTGGACAGGTCAGCAGTGGCTTGGGCAAAGTACCAGGGGCATCGTCAGACCTGCAGCTGGGTAGCAAAAGAAAAACAAGGTCAAGGGCAGGGCGAGGCTGGGGAGCCAGCAGCACAAAGCCAAGGGGAGGAGAGGGCACTGAGATGGACACACGGGACCCTGAGGGAGGGGCCTCGGGCCAGAGAAACCAGCACTGACAATGCAAGGTGGGCGGGCAATCCCGGAATCAGACGGGTGGGCGGCGCCGCCGCCGACCGCCGAGGGGCGGAGGGAGGAGGGGTCGGGCTCCCGACGCAGGATTCCAAATCCTCCAGCCAGCGCTCCAGAGCGAGCGGAGTGCGCAAGCGCGGTGATGGCTCTGGGCAGGCAGGAGGGGAGAAGGGGAAAGGAGAGGGGAGGGCCGATTTCGGGAGCGCGCTCTCCCCCCTCCTCCTCCCTCTCAATCCCCCTCCCTACCTCCCTCTCCGGCTCAAGGCGGCCGGGTGCGCGCACGCCGCCCCATCTCCCGGGCTCCGCCCCCCGCCCTGCTGCGCGCTCCCGCCCCCGGGCTGAGGAGACTCGGGAGTCGCAGCCCAGCACAAAGGAGGCGACGACGAAGAAGGCGACGGCAGCGGCGGGAGAGGGTTCCCCTAGGCCGCCACCCTCGGGGTCCCTGGTTCCTGGGCCTCCCCTTCCCAGCTTCAGCCGCCCGCCCGAGGGCCTAAGATGGCGGCGGCGGTGGCGACAACGACCGGGCTGAGCAGCGGCCCCGGGCGGGAAGTGCCTGGAGGAGCCACCGTCGCCTGACCGCGGATCCCCGGACTCCAGCACGGCTCGCGGCAGAACCGCGGCCTCCAGGGGCCCTTACCTGCCCGGAGCGGACTCGGGGGGACACGACTACACACTCTCCCGAGCAGCCCGTTTGGCCGCCTCCGCCTCGCCCTCCCCAGCGCCTCCGCCGCCATCTTGTGTCCCGGCCGGGGAGGGAGGGTGCCGTTGCGCGTGCGCGGGCACCGCCTTTGAGGGCCCTCGTAGTCGTCGCGCCGCCATCTTGAGTGTGGCGAAACCTACGACTGGGGGTGGGGTAGAATTCAGGAAGAAGGAGTCTAAAGGTCTAGTTTTAATTGCGCCGTCCACACGCTCTAGAGAAGGGCTTTTGCCTAGGACATCGGTCTTGGAGTTGGGGGACTTGGGCAGCTTTTTCCATTTGTGACCCTGAGCGAGTCACTTTGCCTCTGAACCAATTCCCTCTCTATAGGGGATGACTGTGATTACACTCCCACGTTCCAAGGTTGTGGTGAAAGCACTATAGGAGAGGGAGTTCATAGCATCAGTGATGTAACACTTATTGTGTACCAAGCACTGTGCCGAACCTCTCATTTGATTCTCATAAGAACCCTAGGAGACAGAAGAGGAAGCTGAGGTATACTCAAGGTCTTACTGACCCCAGGCCCAGCGCTTTCTCTGCTTTGCTACCTAACTTAAGCTTCCCATAAGTTTGGTAGTGAGACCTAGGGTATTCGTTTATTTGATGGAGCCTTCTGGCCATTTGTAGTTTTGATTTCAGCCGAATAGGGGGACATCAGTGAACTTCCTGGCTGCTCGTCTAGGAAATGAGCCACTTTGAACAAGTCACTTAACCTCTCAGTCTCAGTTTCCCCGGCTGTAAAAGGAAAGTAATACTTTTACCGCATACCTCTAGGAAGTCTTCCTAAGCTGTGAAACACTCTAGAAATGGAGCTGTTACAATGATCAAGTAGGTTGATTTGTAAAAGGTTCTGGGGATCTTAATGCATTATATGAATGTGAGCCATGATGATGAAAATGACCCAAAGAGAGCAAGTGGTTTGTGTGGGAATCTGGGTTTTCAAATATGAAGATGGAAAGCTCTCTCTACTCCATACCCTCAGGTAGTTTAAAAGATAGGATCAGCACAATCAGCAATCTCAGGCAAATAACCACTCTAGGCTTTAGTTGCTCTCTTCTAAATTGAAGAGATTGGACTCCATGATCTCCAAGGCCCAGGTGGTTCTGAAGTTAGAAGCCTTGACTGATATTTGCAAAAACTGAATAAAGCCAGATAGAGCCTAAGTCAGCCTTCCCCATCTCTCCAGGAAACCTGTCTGGAGGAGATTCTGCAGAAATGGCTCTGCTTCTATGCTATACCTTGTGTTTGTATTGCCTACCTTGATTCTCTCACAGGCACGTGATATTGCAGATGACAGGTGCTGCCCTCTTGGGTTATCACTGCAGTACTGATTCCTCCCTCCCCTCTCCCCAGTTACTTCTCAAGAAAGCCAGCCTCCCAGGAGTTGCTGAAATGAGCAGGGCAAGTTTGCTGCCTGCAGTCTGTCAGATAGGGCTTTGCTGAGTGGTGGTATCTAAAGGCTGGCTCCTCTGAGAGATCCTTCTCTGTGATGTCACATCTGTATTTTCTGAGTCCTTTTTTGCTGGAAGGATGCCATTTCTGGTATGAAAATTGGTATATTGCCTACACTTGTATAGTTTTTCCTACACAATTTTTTGTTAGTAATTTGTTGCAGGAAAGCAGCATCATACAGTACACAGAGGGAAGGGCTTAAAAGTTGAGAAGACCTGGGTTTAAATCCTGACTGACTGTAATTGTATAACCTTGAGCAAGTCATTTAACCCCCAAATGCTTGTCACCTCCCAAAAACTTACCCACTAAATCAGAGGGTCTTGATCTCTGTTATCAAAGTATTCCTACACCAGGAGTTACCCATTTTAACTTGTAGACATCCCTCATATATTTGCATTTAATGTATTGTAACCTGTTCACACCAACCACTCTCTCCAAGATGCCTTTCCTAATTTTCCTAGTTGTATATCACGCACCCCCCTTCCCCCATCAACACATTTGATTTTGTATATATTCTGTATGTCCTTACCTCTGAATATTTTTATCCCTTAAGTGGATACTTGGAGACTGAGACTTTTGTGTTTATATCAGTAGATTTAGCGTGTAAGTGCATAATAGGGCAACTTCATGGCAACGACAACAAGATTCTCCCTCTTCTGAGTCTGGCAAAATTGACCCCAAAAAATGGTGAATGACAAATGTTTGAGGTACAAGAGAACAGGTACACTAACGAACTATTGACAGAGCTATAAATTAGCATGGGCATTCTGGAAAGCAATTTGGAACTATGTCCAAAAAATTACTAAACTGCTTACCCTCTGGCCCAGCAATACCGCTCTTAGACATGCTCTAGAGAGATCAAAAGAAAGTAGAAGGGCAGCTAGGTGGTGCAGTGGGTAGAGCACCGGCCCTGAAGTCATGAGGACCTGAGTTCAAATCCAGCCTCAGACCAAACACTTGATACTTACTAGCTGTGTGACCCTGGGCAAGTCACTTAACCCCAATTGCCTTAAAAAAAAAAAAAGAGAGAGTGGAAGAGGATACTTATGTACCAAAAAAGCAGCTTTTGTTGTGGTAGCAAAGAATTGGAAACTAGTCATTTGAGGAGTAGCTAAACAAATTATGGTGTATATGTAATGTAATACTATTATGCCATGAGAAAGAGAGAGATATTAAGTGTTTGCTAAATATCAGGCACTGTTTTAAGGACTAGGAATAAAAATATGAGCAAAAAACCAAACCAGTCCTTACCCTCCTGGAGTGCAAGACAGACAATACAAAAGGAAGCTGAAAAGAAAGGGTGGAGGGATGGAATGGGATGGAAAAGTAATCTTGGAGAGTCCTGGGCTGAGCTAGGTTAGAAGTTAGAATTTCCTCAAATTTTGACTTGCCAGGCTGCTGCATTTCAGCAATCTAGGAAGCCAAAGGCCCAAGTCCCTTTAAGGGACCTGCTGAATCTACATGGAGTCACTGTCTAGGATGTAGGGCAATGGGAGGGGTAGCCAAAGAGGAAGAGAAAGCGAGAACTAGGGGGCTGGGACCAAAGAGAAAGGAGGAGGCGACTGTGGCCTCAATGTGGATTCAATCTTAGTAACTGGTGCTGGGACACAGCTTTTCCTCAGGGATAGTCCCCAAACTTTACAATTGCTGCAATGCAAAACAAAGCTTTTATTATAGTCCATATCTGGGATAGACTCCTTCCTCATCTCTTCCTCTTAGAATGCCTACTTTGCTGTAAAACATAACCTACATGTCACTACAGCATGGGGCCTTTCTGCCCTTCTCTCCCTACCTATTAGTGCTCTCTCCTTTTAGAACTTACTTCGTGCTACTTTGTGTTTTGTTTCCTCCTTTGCTCCTTTGTTTGCTCCAATAGAATGTAAGTCCTTAAAATAGGAATTTGTTAACTCTAGTCTTTGTATCCATATCACCTAGCACAATGTTTTGCCTATTTTTATTGTTCATTTGTTTCAGTTGAGTCTGACTCTCTATGACCCCATTTGGGGTTTTTCTTGACAAAGATACTGGAGTGGTTTGCCATTTCCTTCTCCAGCTCATTTTACGTATGAAAAAACTAAGGCAAACTGGGTTTGCCCAGGCTCACACAGGTACTAAGTGTCTAAGGCCAGATTTGAAGTCGATGAGGCTAGCTGACTCCAGTTCCAGCAACCTATTTACTGCGCCACCTAGCTGCTCATATAGTAGGTACTTAATAGATGTTAAATTGAATTTGCTGCAGCTCCTTGGAAGACTATTGACGTTAAAAATATTAGACAGAAGAAAAAGACACGTAAGTCCAAAAAATATTTATAGCTATTCTTTTTGCGATAGCAAAGAAATGGAAACAAAATAGGTACCCATAAATTTCAGAGTAGCTGAGCAAATTGTGATATATTCATGTAACTAAATATTATTGTGCCAAAAGAAATGACAAGTAGGACAGATTCAGAGAAACTTGGGAAGACAAATATTAACTGATGTGTAGTAAAGTGAACAGCACCAGAAAAGCAATTTGCACAATCCATAATTACATGAAAGAAAACAACTTTGAAAGTCTATCTTTCTTACTCTAATCAAAGCAGTGACAAGTCTCAGTCATAACTTCAGAAAACTGATTTTAAAGTATGCCTCCCACTACTTAGCAGACAGGTGATGGACTAGCAGTATAGAATAAGGTATAAATTTTCACATATGGCTAATGCATCAATTTGTTTCATTAGGTTGTTTTTACTGTTACAAGGGACACTTATTTGAATAATGTTTGGAAATGAGTTCCTGGGTAGTAACAGACATGCAAAAAAATGAAGAGAAGAGAACAAAAAGTTCAGAAGAGAAAGAAACAGGGTGATTTGGTTACTACCTTATTAAATTTAACACATTTTTCCAGAAACAAACTACAGAACAGAAGTTCTGAGTTTCACGTAAAATCTTTTTTGTCCTTTGTATCATGAAAAAGTTTGTTAAATTTGGATGACCTTGAACTTCAGTTCTTAAGATACTGTGGTATTCCATGCCTCACAGGCATACAACTTTACTAGAAGAATATTGGTGTTGAAAAAAATGGGAGTGTTATTTCAGGGAGAAGATTGGAGGTCATTGAAAAAAACTACATAGTGTCAAAAATGCAATCTAGCCCCTTATTTACTCCACCTTTAGTTCTGGGCCCAGATCATTGTCAATTTGTGTTTTGTCTATTGAAGATATGTGTGCTGAAGGATAGGCTTTCTGGGTATAAGCAGGCTTGTAGCATATAGTATTACAAATGAGATATTTTGAGATATTACAAATCAGATATTTTGACAAGTTTTCTATGAACTTATTTAACTTTCCATGTCTTAAGTTATTTAAACTTTCAATGTTTTTATCAGATAATACTCAACACAAATCTTCCACCATGCTTCTCTGTAAGATTTTAAAAATAATAGCTATCATTTATATAGTATTTTAAGATTTACCAAGTGCATATATTAATTGATTTGCTCTTCATAATCCTCATGACGTAGGTATCCTCATTTTCTAAATGAAGAAACTGAGGGGAACAGAGGTGATTTGCTTAGGTTCACATGTCTAGTAACCATCTGAAGCAGAATTTGACCCCAAGTCCAATACTTTGTCCATTGAACCTCCTAGCTGCATCAAATGGTTTATATAAACTAGTGATGGCCTTGACTTAAGTATCAAGAAGTTCAAATGTTTTCCTAATCAAGACGGTTTCTGGGCTCTTTTAGTGTTTCATCATGGCAAGTTATTTACATCCACTCAACTTCTTTAGGAAATGTTATAATCTCTGTTGTATTCAATGGCTACTCCTTTTTCTGTTTGTCTCATTTTTAAAATTTTTTTTCCTATCAACAACCTGTTTTATGTAGGGCAGGTTGGTCTCACATGGGTGCCATATGTCATTTTATTCTTATTCCAATTTGATAGGATATAAACTCCTTCAGAAGACTGCTTGTTTCTTTTGTGTGTATATGTTGGTATCTCTGCAGTCTAGCATGGTGCCTAGCACGTAGTGGGCACTTAATATATGCTTGTTAAGTCTGTGCTCTTTCTGTATACAGCTGATTCAGAATGATTCAGTCAGAAAGCCTTTATTTTCTGTTGAAATAGCAATTTTGGTTTTTTGTGGTGTTATTTGGTACTCATCCAGCTGGGAACTTCCCAACTCCCTTCTCCAAGTAAGTATTCATGATATGAAGGCATAAGGCTTCAGTATGGTCTATGAACCATAGTTTTTTCATCTCTATGCCTGCTTTTACAATGAAGCCAGCAAGTATCAAAGAAGATGTTTGTAACATGGGTTATTCAGTGTGTGACCAGATAAAATCATTGCCTGCATGATTCAGCATTTGGGTCCCCAGGGGACAACAAACTTCCTGCCTGCTTCTGGTCAGTCATGTGGTAGCTCAATCCTGAAAAAATGTGGTTCTGAGACTGGCTTGCTGATCTTCCTTTGAACCACCAGGTGGCATCATGTAACTCAGTTATTTCCACTGAGGGATGGAGAGATTCTGGTCCTTTACCACCCCAGCATCCTGGCAAACAAGGGTATTCAACTATGCAAGCTTGCTGCTAGGTCCCTGACTGCCTTTTTTTCTTTTTGTTTCCTTTCTAAGTGAGCAAACATCAGCCTTGAGATGGGCATGTCCAGGCTTAGAGGTGACCTTGTAAATTCTCTTGGTCCCCACATCTCCTTAGAAGGATAAGTGGCATTTGGCTATCCAAGACTGAGCAATAACAGGCCTTCTATAAGATGTCCATAGCTCCACAAGCTACCCTATCTCAGTATGTGCCTTCCCTATGAGGCAAGTGCGGGTAGCTCAATGGATTTCCCAACTCCAAGACCCATGTAAAAGCATCTTAAGGAGAAGTGGAAGAGGTTGAATAAGGTAGCAAGGCTTGGTCATGAGACCCCAGTGGCCCTTGCCAATCTGAGCAAGGAAAGCTACTTCATTCTGGCTGTTGTGCCTATTGTGCCATGAATTCCAAGGAAAAGAGGGAAGGACATCAGAAGGTCAGATCCAGCCTGACCTGGGCTCCTTTACCAGGTAATATCACTTCGGGGCAAGGGGAGGAGGGAGGGGTGTCAGCTCAACCTAATCAAGAATAAATATCTTAAGTGTAGGAATATAAAGACACTACTGAAATTCTGACATTACAAAGATCATTAAGGGAGATCATTAAGGAGCACCCCTAACCTCTAGATCTCATCAGAACCCCAAAATCATGACATGCGGATCCTGTCCAAAAGAATTAAACTCAAGCCTTCTTTCAGCCAAAGACAAGGTTTATTGAAGATCCCCCATGCTGGCCAGACTCTTAAGGAATCTGAGCACCTGTGAGCTAGTGGTCAGATTGTAAAAATCTCAGCAGTGGCTAGATTATAAGAATTTGAGCATCTTAATGGACACAAGATGGCCCTTATATACAGAAAGACTGTGGGAGGGATCTAGGAGTGGCCAAGTAAACTGGGGTAAATAGAACAAAACTCCTGGGACCTGGACAATGGGGCCTGGCTAGGATTAAGTGTGGGAAATGGCCTGGGGCCATAGGGAGGGCTAGGCTAGTTTAAGGGTAACAGAGAATTGGGAGATTGGGTATAGCCACAATGAAAGGCCAGTTGATAGGATTATAGCCTCAGGCGAATGCCAGAGATTTGGCCATTCAGGGAAAGTCCAGGGTTTTTCCTTTCTGGGGCCCAGATCCCAACCCCATCACCATGATATACTTCTTCACCTCAACCACACATAAGGAATCCTAGCCTGGATCTCATAGTTTCCCACAAGTATTCTACTTCCTTAATCAGAACTTCTGATGTTCCTCTGTCTGAGCTGACAAACACTTAAGATCATTTGAGCCCCAATAAAGGCCAAAGCCTGAACTAATCAACCAGAAGAAGCACCCTGACATAATAGATGCTT